GTCGTCGTTCATTATCGCGCGATACGCGAGAATCGTTTCGCAGAAATGAATTCCGCAAATATTGATCGTTCGGATCGACGTCCAAGGCCGATCGGTCGCCGGGAATCGTCGACTTAAACGCGATTTCACGTCCGCGCGGACAGCGTGCATCGGTCCTCCGTGCATTTGTCTCCATCCCGCAGGCGAAGACGTATATCTCTTGGCAAGCGGTCGCGTTCCGCGCGGGCCTGCAATTTTCTCGTAATCCGGTGCGCGAGACGCCTCTCGGTGCTTAGGCGAGTCTCCAGAATTAACCTTAGTCCACCCACACTGTCCACGCATCCCGCGTATTCTCTCTCGACGATACTCTCACCTTTTTACACATACTTTTCCCCCTAGATCTCGTATTTTACTTTTTCGGTTCTTATCTTCTTGAGGCGAGAGTTGGATTAAAAAGTAGGAGGTGTTACGCTCGGGATCTATGTTTAGAGCGGTGCACCTGTCAACAGCCGCGGCATTATTTGCATCGCGAACTTCGGAAACCGTGCCAAGGTATTTAGAATTCGGTGAACATTCCGACGAGCTCCGTGACGCGTCACCATCGCGCCATTCGATCTCTCTCGAGCGCAACGAACTCTTGCTCAGCTTGTATCGTACGCTCCGCGGACGATTCTTCGTGCGTTGCACCCCCTTTTTTCCTGCAGGTTTCCCCTCGTTGGGAACGTTTCTCGATGATGTGTCGGTATAGTGGTGTATCGAGGGGTGGATGAAGTTACGGGGAAGTCAGGTGCAGGTGATTTCAACGGGCTTAAGTGCACAGGAGCGACGAGACGTCGTTGCGGTTTTGAAATGGTGACACTGCGATTGGGCGCGTTTGTGCTTCTTGTAGGGGGATCGGGTGATTGTATGCATTGTATCGTTGGGAATATAAAGAAAGTTTTAGAGCAATGGGAAATATTTGTAGGGGAGTGGTAGTGAGATATTCGTGATGGCAGCGAAATTTGTGTAGTCGTTCACGTTGGGGTGTGAAATTTTGCGACGCCGCGGTGAATGTTTCACGGTGATCTTGTGGGATTTGCTGTTTTTCTTTTTACGTTTGTTATCGTTGTTACGTTGCGAATTCTTGTAATTTTGAAGTTTGGAGATAGTGCACGGACAGGCTGTAGATTAGAGGAGCACATTTTGTGGATTATCATCGGTGAAAATTGGGTTAGCGATGCCAAGGATTTAGTTGTAGACATTTAAATGTCGTGGACAATAAAAAATTCATTTGTAGCCGAATATTAGAATTTAAATATGTAAATTTGAATAGTTTGAATTTAATTGGCAGAATTTAAATTTTGAATAGTTCGAATTTCGTTGGCTGAATATCAAAGACTAATAATTTTAATTTCATTGGCTGAATTTACGTCGTGCTTATTTTAACAGCATTAGCTAGGTTCGAATTTCATTGGCTAAACTTAAAATTCAAATAATTTGAATTTGATTGCTTGGTTTAATGCTGCGTTTACTTTCAATGCTTTCAATTTCATTGATTAACCCTTTGCACTCCAATGGCGCCATTATGGCGACACGCGGATACTTAGGAAGACTATAAAAAGTAAAATTCAGGTTTCTCTATGTTATTAAAGCACTGGAGATTGAAATGAGAAATAGAAATAAATAAATTCGTAAACAATAAACGTTCTTTTTCCAAAATGAAACTTAGGGTTTTCGAGAGTTTCGCTGCAAAAGTATACCAGAGTTGCTGATTAATTCTATCAACAAATGCTTGGAGTAGAAAGGGTTTATTTTCAAACTCGAATAATTCGGCTTCCATTGGCTGAATTCAAATTTTCAAAATTTCAAATTCCATTGGTAATCTTCAAACTCGAATAATTTCCATTTGATTGGTTGAATTCAGATGGTGTTTAATGACATTGGCTGAATTCAAATTTTCAACAGTTTCAATTCGATTGGCAGACTTCAAATTTTTAATACCTTCGATTTTATTGGGATGAACTTGAAATTCGAGTAATTTCAATTTTTTTTTTTATTTCGAGCAATTTTAATCTCTCTCGAGATTACTTCGCATTACATCGTGTGTACAAGAAATTGTCAAAGAGGTACAACGTTTTAGACGGATAGTTTGCAGCTTCTTAGGAAGGAGTGAACGGCATTACAAATCTCTACCGTGGCTTTCCAGAGTATAAGGTTGCGTGGCAATGGAAGAGGATAGTTCATTTTATGTAATTTTCTGGCAAGGGTGACTATCGAATACATGGTCAATGTCCTGTCTTTCGTATTCACATTGACATTTGGGGTCGTTTGTAATGCCTATTCGAGCGAGTGAGAAATAATTATTTCAATTTGACTGTCTGAATTTAAATCGTACTTCCTCTAATAGCATTGATTGAATCCAAATTTTGAACAGTTTGTATATTACTGACTGAATTCAAATTTTCAATAATCTAAATATCATTGGCTAAATTCAATTAGGAGGAATTCCCCTAGCGCCGGACACTTAAGGTATTTCTTAAATAAATCTCTCTACCTGTGCACACGCGTCTGAAACGCGTAGAAAATTTATTTTTATTCCTTTTGTCTCCTTTAGGAGATACGCAGAATAACGGCTCGGTAGCGTTTCAATTATTGCAGATATAACTAATGTCCGATATTAGGCGCCGTCCGGCGTTAAGGGAACTCCTCCTATGTGTATTTTTCTACCGTATCTTGTAACAGACATTAGTGCAAAAGTTACAATAATACACCGGTTCGGTCATAAACGGCCAAACAGTTTTGAAAAGACCATAGGACAGTGACTTCACGACGTGTCCAAAAATCAAAGACGAAAACTCGCACAGCTGGACACCACTCGCGCTAAAGCTACCTGGCGGCCAGAATACCGTTACTGTACCCCAAAGTAACAAATAGTTTGCAACAATTTCCCTACTCCTTCGACAACACCATCGCCCCCGAAAACACCAGAGACCAATCGATACATTTGAACTACCTCCTACACAACTTAAAAACGAATCAGAAACAGACACCAAGGTTATAAGACAGTATACACAGCCACCCTTAGAGCAGATGCAACTAGAGGCGACAAGCAAACGTACACGTAGATACACAGACAGCCACACAACACATATTTGTAATATACAAGGTTTGAAACATAAAGTGTGGTGTTTCATTTTTCAATCAAGTGTACAGTCCACTAAATACAAAACTACTTCAACGAGCATTTGAAGGACTCGAGAAGTAAGCGTCATTTATTCGTTGCCAACGTGCTGTGACGCATCAATAACCTTAGGCGCCGTCCGGCGATAAGGGAACTCCCCCTATCCACTGCCGCCACGAATATTTCGCGTTGGTCCAGGAGTTCCTTAATCCCGCCGAATGTCACAGTTGCGAAATCGTAAGGACGTCGCGTCGCTCGCCTGCGCCAACTACCCCGAATACCCGAACGATCGAGAAATTCCAGCGATTGAACGCAAAGTGGGCGTCGTTGCGAAAATTACGAGGCGTATTATTCACGCTGTCCACGACGCGACGCCTCCTTCACTCGGCGTCGCACACGTGCGACCCGCATCTCGTTTCCTGCACACGTGGATTCTCGGGACGCTGCGCGCCTAGCCGCGTCCGAGCGCCTCGTAAACGTCCACGTGGTTAAAAGGTTCGATAACACGTTGCATCTGCCTCCGTTAGACGGGACGGAATTAGATTCTGAGATGGTTAAGACAAACCAACCCACGAACCTTTGTTCTTCCACCTCTTTCCGAAAAGTACGCGTAGGAGAACAATCTTAGGTTGCTTGATCGTTCGTAAGGGAGAATAGAGAAATTTTCTTTGTTTCGAAAAAGAGAGAAGTAATTTTCCGTGGAGAAAAATGATCCTTTCGCTAGAATAGTGAGAAATGGAAGGTGTCCCGTGTTTTTCGATAACGAAACGCAAGGCTGACAAGAACCGGAAACGAAGGACTCTAATTATAAACTTGGCGACCCGTCCATCAATCAACCGTGGAAACTGAACTTCTCCTTCTGTTTCCCTTCTTTCACACACGATTCTATTATTGTGACTACCTTCCTGAAATAATTAGAACATATCGAGCTAACGTCAATAGTTCTCACAGTCATTACTGTTCACACTTCCGGATGTAAGTCGTATCCTTGCGGAGGAAGTGCTCCGACGTTTTTTAAGCTTTGAAGTTCCCTCCTTCGGGGTTCGAACGACATACCGATACTGGTGTGTGCCTTTTTTTTTTAATTATTATATAGGTGCTGTTGCACCTGTTGAGTCAGGGACAGTTTATCGACTAAATGTGTCTTTGCTGTTAACTGTGACGGGTAAAATTTGATTAGGATGAATTATTTTGGTAAGTGGAGAAAAGTTTTTTAAAAATCTCCAGGTAAAATTGTAGTCATACAGTAAACCCTTTCTATAACGCGAAGCAAAAATTGCGACGGCCCTGCTATTATATAACGCAGGACTTTTGAAACGCGGAGCAAAATTTGCGACGCCCCTTCTATAACGCGATTTTCATATAACGTGGAGCAAAAATTGGGACGGCCCTTCTATAACGCGGAGAAAAATTTGGGACAGCCCTTCTATAACGCGGTACTTTTGAAACGCGGAAGAAAAATTGCGACGGCCCTTATATAACGCGGAGCAAAAATTGGGACGGTCCTCCTATAACGCGGTTTCCGTATAACGCGGAGCAAAAATTGGGGCGGTCTTCCTATAACGCGGAGCAAAAATTGCGACGGGCCTCCTGTAACGCGGTACTTTTCAAACGCGCTTTCCATATAACGCGGTGAAAAAATTACGACGGCCCTCCTATAGC